ATCCTGAAGTTCCAGACCTTCCTTCTGGTCGTGCTTCTTTTCATCTGCTCGTGCACGTATCTGCACGGCGTCTTTCCAGCTTGGTTAGATCGAAATAAGAGCGGGTGAGTAGCCCCTTACGAAGCCAAACGCTGATACTGTTCGATTCGAAAACCAGACGACCTTAAAGTGGAGCCGATATCCAGCGCACAGAATAGCTAACAGCATTAATAGTCCGCTCGGCACCTTCTGGCGAGCTGCGAGGATAGGCGAAAGGCTTAGTCCGTATGTCAGCTTGTGTTGCATAGCAATGGCTGTACAGTATACTTCATATCAGATCCTCACGAACCATCATACTGATAGATTACAGGTGAGCTTGTTAATGGGTCAATAATACGATTATCAAAGCGTCTGGGATTTAGCGAAGGTGCTAAGGAGTTACTCTGGCAAGCTAGACTATTGAAAGAATCAGAAGAATTGTGGGCTCGATGCGAGGAGTTATCAGGGGCTCACGAACGAGCCCACAGCTCGAATAAGCTGCCCTTTTCTTGGCCGAGCGGGAGCGGTGCGCTTGTGCATTATCTGATAAGCAACTGGATTGCATACTGTTCGCGCTATATCATGACATCAGACTGGTGCATCAGCTCACGCGATATTCTCGATTCCATCTCCTGGCAAGACTTCTGCTCATGTTCACAGACTTGGCAGATCAATTTCGGGAAGGTGCGAAAGCGTGACCGTCCTTTTCGAGTGTCGGAGCAACAGGCCGACCAATCCACGAGCCCTACAGGTAGCAGCAGCCTGACCACAACGCTTTCATTTCAGCTGCCACTTACGACGTTCGCAATCAGCAACACGATAGCTTGGCTACCGAAGCCGGCAGCCGCTACGTACCGATGTTTCGTCTGTAGTTGCTGTTTCCTGTTCCAGCAGTATGCAATCTCAGGGTCTTGATGCTTGGTGGCGCCTCGCCGGTATAGATGGGGTTAGCAGAATGCGGCAACATCTTCAAAAAGCAAAACCTCGGACTGGTATGGTATAGGAATGCGAGGGTAGGTTGCTCCAATTGCATTTGGCGTTCGTCGCTTATTACAAAGCTGATATGCGCGCATCGTTATACGTCCGACCGCTTAGTTTCTTTTTCGCTACCGTGGGTTTACTCTACCATGATACAACGCACACAACGGGTCGAAAATGCAAGAGTACGTATTTAGGAGAGGCCAATCTCGCTGCTCTTCTCACTCGTTTTATCACACTTCCGCATCACAGCGTTCTACAGAGCAAAAGGATTCTCATCGAGTCTTCTGAGAACGCACTTCCACTCCCAGCACACTCTGAGCACTTATCCCATTCCGCCTACCACACTTTCGCAGCGCAGCGTCGTACTGGACTTGAGCATCCTGGTCAGCTTCTGTGAGATCGTGCACACACGGCCCACAATCTCCTCAACAATCAGCTCCAACTCGACTCGATAGCGAAGATGTCTTCCTATCTGTCGCACCTCAATACTCATGTGCTCCCGACTCGTCACGAGTACTTGCAACGTCTCTTCGTGCAACGCATTCGACTTTCTTCTGACTTCATCGACAAAGAGAAGACATGCATGCTCTGTCAAACGCCCTTCACTCAACACATAGTGAATAAGGATGACTGTGAGCTTCAACCAGCACTAATCCACGGCAATCATCACGCCTGCAGAATGTGCGTTTTGAAGTGGCTAGTCCAGGAGCGGAAGAACAAATGTCCCTTCTGCCGTCTTCCTCTCTATCGGCAGGATAGATGCATAATGACATATGACGCCGAGAACGGTCATGGTAACGAGGAGGACGAGAACTATCATCGGCTCGACTATCAGCGATACCACGTGAACGATAGCGACAAGGATATCCTGACCCAGCTTCGACACTCTCCGTTTGCTCCTGACTTCGCTACTGCAGTCCAGTCTCGTGCATGGCATTACGAGCAAGGCCAGTTGACCGTTGACCGCCCAGACTATGCAGCATATAGTGCTCATCTTCAGACAACGCTGCCCGACGGCATTCGGGCGACACGATACCGCACTCTTCATGCCGATCGCTTAAGCGAGGCTGTTCGTGCAGCGTACTATCAGCTGCTGCGGGACGATTTGAGACGATCACGCCCTACGATAGCGAGTCACCCGGTCGCTACTCTAGCTGCTGGAGACATGATCAAGACTCTGTTCGAAGCTCTCAACGGTCAGCGAATGACAGTTCGTCAGCTGAGCAGCGCTATATACACTGGACTGGACTCCACGCACTTCGACATCTGGGTCAGGAAGCTTATACGCGAGCAGTCGTTGCCAGAAGGCTACATGGACTATTGCTGCGATCTCATCGAAGCGATCATGTATGACTTTGCTGGCAAGGACGCCGTGGCTGTCTTGAAGCAGAATCGTCTCGAGAGGAAGCGACAGCGACGTGCGTACCTAAGAGATCCGGCGCGAAGGCAGAGACAACGTGTTCGGAAGATGATCTTGCGGCCGAAGCTAGAATTAAATATTGTCCAGTACTCACCTAACGACGACATCTCGGCAGAATGAGGGAGGATGACCATGCTGCACCGGACTTGAAGATCACCCCGAGCAATTATCGTGAGGAGATACCGGCTAAGCGAGTCAGGCATGGGTGATGCCATCTCGACTGAGCAAAGAGCTATGATCACACTGCACAGGCATCCCGAGCCCGCTCGCAGCTACGACGCGCAGAGATCATCACGTAGCAGGCATGGCACGGGTAATCACATCTCGTCACGGCGAACAGGTATGATCACACCACACTGATCTCCCAGGCCTTATTCAAAGACTCACTAGGAGATATCGCGGCATTTTGATAGACATGGGCTATGTAGACTTGATTGTGAGAAGCAGCATCCACACGGGCCTCTGGACAGCAGTCCAGTAACGGGTGGAAAACACTTGTCGCGTTTGAGTTAATGTAGCATTTTGTATTGAATTTGATCATACCCACACTGTGATATATGTACACTATTTCCTACCTACAGTATTCCTATGTTCCGCCAAGCCGATCGTATCTAGTACATGGCATATGTGCAATCATACATGCTCTGTAACTCTAACTCTCGGCCGATAGGTCGCTGACTCTTACACATAGATGTCGCGTCCCAGCTGCCTCGCCTCCTACTCGAGTCGATCTCGTCAACTTTGTCACTTCACACGCCTCGTAGATGCTTTCGCGTCCAATTGACCTGCTTGATTCGTCGCGACATGGCATTCGACTCCGCGCTGAGGGATGCTGCGCATAAAGAGTCGTGGTACAGCCGACCCCGAGCATTAGCTCGCAATGCCACGAATTGACAATCGTTATTGACTCGTTCACTTCAGCTTCTATCATCGACTATCTGGCAAATCAGGATAGACCCTCTTCTTCACCACCTCTTCCACGCCATAGTCGCCGTCCGCAGCCAGCGTCTCGAATTTGCCTATCATATTTTCCAGATCTTGCTCGGCATTCGGCCTGTACCTCGTGACCTTCTGTATATTCGCCGCGGTCATGTCGTTGATCGCATGTCCCTTCTCTCGTAGATGAGCGACCGTTCTGGCCGTGAGCGCAAAGCGCATGTCTTTAGGTCCATCGACCAGCTCTAGAATTGCAGAAGGTGCCTGATCTTCTCGCACAGGCTCCATGCGCAACACACGTGTGTATCCACCAGGTCGGTTCGCGTATCTTTCTCGCAGAGGTCCGAAGAGTTTGGGTAGCATTTCGCCTGGTCTCTGCAGGTTCAATTAGCCTCCAAATGCTAGTCGAGATAGATCAACTTCACGCACGAAGAGGAACTTATGTGCCTCTCGTCTGCTAGCGACTGTATTCTTCTTGCCGTAACTTATCATCTTCTCCGCCATCCTTTGTGCCTCTTTCGCCTTCGGCCATGTTGTTGATATGCTTTCGTGCTCGATGAGGGATTCAACTAGGTTTCGTAGAAGTGCTCTTCGATGCGCCGAGC